GCACGCTTATTTAATTTGTAATAATTTTGTTTTACAAGGGGCCGGAGGCCTGGAGTTTGATGAATAAATTCCCTGTATGGGGAGCATGAAATAAGAAATTGAGCGATGGAGAACCTCCAGAAAAATGCCGGAACACATTTTTTTGGCGGCCATTTTCAAAATGGCGCCAATATTATGATATTGGCTCATAACTTCACCTATATCCAATGAAAAAGGGCAAATCTGGTATCTAACTATATGTTATTAGGGTCACTGAAGCCAATGAGACAGGTTCGAAAACGTAAAATGGCAGCCATATTGAAATTCAAGATGGCCGCCTTAACAATGGCCAAAAATTGAATATTTCAGTATAATTTCACATCCCCTCTATGGAAAATGGTAAATTTTGATCTAATCATATGTGTTTGGGCTCTCTGAATACAATAAACAAGGTTTCGAAAAGCTAGGATGGTACCGTAGTCATTTTGAAATTCAAGATGGCCGCCATAAATATCCTCAAAAATCGAATATTTTACTATATAATTCCACTTCTCTTTGATAAAAAAAATACGTTGAGTTTCAAGAGAGATATAAGCAGTTGTCTGTCAGAAGGTGGGTTTTTTAGCAAAATCTCATGACAATTTCAAATTGCTCTAACTCATCCCAAAATGCTGGCGCGGAGCCAAAAATATCACTGTGAAGTTAACTCAGGTAGACCCCCCCCCCCCCCCCCCCACCACAACAGGTGGATTTCAAGGGGGTCGGGCAAAAAAGTGTGTTGGAACCATATGGAAAGACTCTTTAGCCCCAACCATGTTGGGGTTAAGGTGGGTGGTTCTTTAGTCTCTGAAAGTCCCCTCCTCACCTCTCTTTCGAATTCCTGGATCCACCACTGTTGTGAGCTATTATTATGCTTATTGGTAGGCCTACTAATATTACGGTATTTATCAGTCTTAAAAACGTTCAGAGTGCGCTACTTCCCAGAGGGCTTCGCCCCTAGACCTCACCGGGGTTTTAAGTACTCACAACACCCCCACCCCACCTTTCAAAATCATGGCTACAGTACGTCCCTGATGTGGTTTTTTAGCGCATACGGTATCTCTATAATGCGCTTTTAGCCATATGCCTAAATAAAATTCAATTTTCATTATCTGCATATTTACCAGTGTTTTCTTAATGACATAGGCCTATACCGCAGCATTTCCAGCTTTTTACTTATATTGCACAATTTACAAAACATACTTGATATTTTACGTGTAGGGAGGAAATTATTATGAAATGTTTACTAATGGCACAATTTCTGAAGGCATTTATGTCTTACCATGAATGCCAAAACCACTTGCGTGGTAAAATTACAGGATATGGTTATGTTCGCATTCCACCCCGGTAATTAATTAAGTCTATAATTTAGTGTTTCATATTTTTGACTACAGCTTCGTAGACAGGTTTTTTTGATTAGCGAAACGTCATCTTGTAAAGTCTATTTTTAGACCTACTGCTCATTACTTGACCTCCGCTATTCTGTGAGTCACGAATATTTTTATGAACTTTGTGCTAATATTTTGTCGGTGGAGAACAACACAGAAGCATGGATAATAATGTATTCGTTGGGATATTAAAAATGATAACTAACAAGTTTATGTTGTGCTCGGATGATGCTCTAGAATGATACTCAGTTTTGGCATATTGGGAATGAAACTGTCCCACTTATAATTGTGAGGTTTTCAACATGGAGGTTATGTACTATCAAACTTTCGGATTTGCTAGGCCTACGTGTTGCAGTTCTCTGCGCTTTTATACGGGAATATTTACATGAGCTCTCTTACTCGACTGGTGAGCGAGGTGCTCAAAGAGGTGTGGATGCAGAAAAATAGAAGGAATGATGTTTAATGAAGTCGCGATAACCAATAAAAAATGTAACGCTTATTTAATACGTTTCTCTTGTTTACTTTCAGATCGGGAACGATGGTGGTTTACATTTCGATGCATTACTGATTGCTTGTGCTATCATTATGTACTCTTTGCGATTACGTCATCGGTATCTGCTGCTGATCCTTGCATTGACAGCAGGTATTGCCTTTGTTATTCGCTTCCAGGTACCAGTGTCTAACTACACATACCTATATCCAAAGGAATTTGAGGAAGGCTCGCCAACAGAAATCATTGATGGACAATTCACGCATTTTCTAAAAGCCGACAGTTTTCAAAAATCTCCAGAAGAACTGACGCGTTCAACAAACGTCATTTTATTGGCGTCGTGGAGATCAGGGTCATCACTTACTGGTCAATTCTTTAACCAGCATGAAGAAGTATTCTACCTATTTGAACCACTGAAATTCCTTGGTGTTCAACGAGTGGATCAGCAAAAAGCTGCCACGGCACTGAAACATATGTTTCGCTGTGAGTTTGACAACATGCACCACTGGGCCGAACGAACTAGTGCAGATATTTTGCATAGGATCTCTAGCAAAAGCCTTATTTCCCCGACTTTATGCCCTTCTATTAACACAGATTCTATCGGACCTGCTTCAGAGAACCGATGGATGATCAAAAAATGTCCGCCGCTAGTCGGTAAGAAAGTGTCAGAAATATGCCGTTCGTACAGACATAAGTTCATAAAAGTGATCCGAATCGCGAACGTGACGTCATTAGAGGAGCTATTAAAGGACACGTCACTGAATGTAAAGATCATACATCTTGTACGTGATCCAAGAGCGCTCTATTACTCGCGCCTGGATGCTAATAAGAATCGACCACCAGATCGTTCAATGAAATTGTATGATATTGTGTACACGTGCAAGTCGACGGATGGCATCATGCAATTGGCAGAGATGTCACCAACGTGGATGAAAGGGAAGTACCACATTGTCAGGTACGAAGATATTGCAATGCAACCTCTCAAAGCAGCTCAGGAAATGTACAAATTCATGGGACTGTCCATGACTCCAAGTGTCAGGCGATGGATTCTGAATAACACAGCTAGTGATCATGTTATACAATCGACTAGAGATCGTTTGTATGGGCTGCAGAAGAATTCAACAGCTGTAGCTCATGCCTGGCGTTACAGAGCACCTTTTTCAGCAGTTGATGTTGTACAGGAAGCGTGTAAAGCCATGATGGCCAAAGCCGGATATATTGAAGCAAAAACCAAACGACAACTACGGGATCCAAAATATAAACTTATTGCCAAATTATGAAAATAAAAGTTGGATAATAAAGTCACATATTATTATGATATAGGCCGCCTATAATGTGATGTTTGATGTCATTAAATGAGAACTAAAAAACTGGCGGAGTGCGGTTGGGTTGGTCGTCCTAATGCGGTGGTCATTAGGTGTGGATTGGACTACTCAAAAGCAGTGATTTGAGACCTATGTTGCAGATATGTGTGTTACCAGTAAAAATTACTTATAAAATTCTTAATATTATCATATCGTTGTCATTCCATAACTACCGATGCATGGTTGGCGGGGGGGGGGGTAGGGGTGAGGACTTTACTCTAATGATGTGTAGTGACAATCATAGGCCTACCCTACTTTATTTAAACAATGCATATTGAGGTACGGACGTAACTTTATTGTGGTTCCAGATTGATTCACTGAAATGTAAAACAGAAAATGTTTAATTTAAAAGCTATTTTATACCTTTCCACATTTGAATTCGTTCTAAAATGATTTATTATCATAGAGGCAGATTAATATATTATCATATTATAGTAACTAAATTGTTTCCTAAATGTCTTGCTCATAAAATAGAACCAATATCTGAAGATATCATTTATTGTTGTATGTTAGGCCAAACATTTATCGTCATAGAGATATGCAGATCTATTCATCATCTATAAAGTATAGACTGGAAATTTTGCTCTATAGATTAAAACAGACCTTACACTCCCTTCAAACAAAGTTAATATCAATAGTTTTATTGGCTGCAGAAACATGTTGATCTTGATGCAATACAGTTACACGTAGGCCTATGCCTTGTTTTAATTTAAGCCTACTTAATTCAAACACGCACAATATACTTAGGAGTGATGTTTTGCCCTACCCGAATCACTTGCCAATAATAATAATAATAATAATAATAATAATAATAATAATAATAATAATAATGATAATAATAATAATAATAATAATTTGCAATTTGTATAGCGCCTCCTGTTGGACCAACCTCGAGGCGCTTGACAACAACGGAAAGAAACGGACAAGAAAAAAGAAACGGACAAGAAAAAAAAAACCATGATCCTAGACTAACACGTCAGGTAGGGCAAAACATCACTCCTATGATATTTTGAGGACGCAAATTCATCCTTATCGCACAATACTTGTTAATAAATATAACGCCCAAAATGCAAACGAGTGAATTTTACTGTATAAGACGTACGCCTACAGAGATTACGCTTATTTCACAATATTTCTCGAGTGAATTTTCACTCGTAAAAGAGTGAACTTTATTCTTGAAATAATGAAATGAAACTGTAAAATTGATCTGAATAGAGTAACATTTCACTTATTTTTCTCTATACTTTACTGGAGTTTAATTTTATTGTGTTGTGAATTAAATAAGTTTATTCAACTACAGTAAATGTACATTATGGCTGCAATAAAAAAAAATTCGAGTTTCAGAACAGGAATGTTGTATTTGTGGTATACAAGCCGAGAATATTGAAATGTCATGATGAAATCAATATAGTCCCATAACGACAAACTAATAAAACTATTTCCTCGGCAGAAGCGGACACAAGTGCTGTTGGTGATTGTGTTCCGATAGAGGGCATGTATCATAAATCTTGCAATGCAACTTTCACGATATCTTTTTCAAAAGAAACGACCAAATTTTTATTGTATAGGCACACTACATGATATAAAACGTTTATAATAATTATTCAACATTTACTTCTTGTCAACCTGGGTATCTCTGTTGGTGTCAACTGTTATTCTTATGTGCCCAGAATGAACTTCGGAACAAACTTACTAGAAAAAAAAGGAAAAATATACTAGTAAAAAGAAAAATATATAAAAAGTCTAATTACAAATTTTAAACAAATTCAATCGTAGTCAAAATGCGTTTATATTGATTTGTTACAAAAATTATCTCAAACTTACCAACAATGGAGAGATTTTTGATAATTTAATTCAATTCAAGTTTGTCTTCAAACTTTGTGATAAACCATGGTGTGCAGCGAGGGATAGTTTAATACCTGATATTGTTATCTAGTTATTATTTCTGTTTATTGATTTATGAGCGGACCCTTGCAAATGTATTACAAAGTACAGTAAAATATTTTACAAATGACAAATAAATTATACAGAATACATCAGCAATCCTTACAAAACAATAGGTTGGCCTTAACCACATAGTGAAATATTTAAAAATGGGGGTAAAATAAAATAAAATAAAATATAAAGTTACAACTTCAAGAAAGGCTAAATAATTTAAAGAATCATTGAAAAGCTACAAATAAAACAAAATTGATAAAATATTCAAACATTTCAAGAATTATTTATTATTAGTGTACAGTTACTCAATTATTGTCATATTGTTCTCTGGTTCCATGCATCAAGGACTAGTGCTGTGAAGGATTAGTTGCTTTAATCGGATTTGAATTGTCGAATGAAACATATGGCACAGTTGGGTAAGGCCTATTCATAGACAGCAGAAGGTCCCGGGTTCTAATTCCGGTTGGGGAAACTTGTTTTCACATTTGCAGATTCTTCCTCTTTACCGTTAAAATTGATACTGTATTTGTTTTACATAACATAATAACATTTATTCATAAATTAAATATTACATAGGCATCTAAACAAGCGGTTGATTGTCAGTTTGAATACCAAACATAAAAAACATATACACACAGAATACATGGAAAGACAGCAAAACATTACAATTAAATTAGGGGTGGCCCACAATTGTCGGCATTTTCCGGAAGACACAACTCTCAAGCAATGGTTTCTTAATATGTATCTACATCATCTCTATTTAAACCAAATTTAGCAAAAAGCTCATTCCAAATATTTGATCCGTGAATAAAAATAGACCCGTGACTAGACCTTTACTTGAAAAGGGACATTTTGCTGGAATTTCTTACGTTTTTTGTACTTTGACTTTTTGTATTAAGATCAAAGATTTCACAGAGCCAACGCAGGAAAGGCAAAACAAGAAATCATTGAAGATTATTGATACAAAAAAAAAATTATTTTGAAATGATTTGTGTAGATGTAATTCATAGACACCATAGATTCAGTTAATATGTTTTTACTGAAGTTTGACATGTGAAATAAAGATGGAAAGAGGAAATGGAGCTCAAGTTTATCTTGTCAAAGTTATGCCAAATCGGCAAATCAGGAATGCCATTGGTTAAAAAAAGGAGTTGGTGGGAAGGTGTGCGAAAATGACCAACTGGGGAAGGATATCGTTTGGAACCCAGACCCAGAGGTAATGGTAATTGTAATGGCTGTATATTTATTAAGCGCATATTACAGTAGTCTCTATGCGCTTGAAATGCAAAGTCTTGGAAGCAGAAAACAAAACAAAAAAAAACGAGAAATATCCTGAGACTAACAAAAGCAAACAACCACAGAGACAAAGAGAAGACTGCAGGAGGAACCAGTGCCACTGCTCTGTTCTCCAGCACTTTGAGACCCAAATGAATGAGGGATCGCTGGAACATGATTTACAAGAGCTCTAGTGACACTGGCATCTGACTATCCTATCCAAAAAGAAAAGGGCAGAAAAGGAAAACTGAATAAAAAGAGCAAAACAGGTGGGTCTTAAGCCTCGTTTTAAACACGGAAATAGATGGAGACTTGCAGCAGGTAATGTGTTCCAAAGCTTTGGGGCCACGGCACTAAATGAACGCTTGCCAAAAGATTTTAAACGGCTGGGTGGACAGTAGAATATAGATGAACTGGTTGTGGATCTCAGAGTGCGTGAACATGTAGCCGAACGTACAGTAATAGATTTATAAACAAAAAGTAAAATCTTGAATTCGATGCGCTGTTTGATGGGTAGCCAGTGGAGAAGACGAAGTGTAGGAGTGATGTGTTGGGATCTGGGTGTACCACAAAAAAGACGAGCAGCGACATCAGCTGGAGTTGTAGTTTCCTAGTTACAGAATTTGGTAGTCCATAAAGAACTCCATTACAGTCGAGAAGAAGGCGCTAATTAGATCGGAGTGGGCGTTTGTAGAGTTTCCGATAGATTACACTAGTTGAAATGTAAAATGTTACGGTAAGATTGCATCTGAAGTTTCATTACCTAAAAAAAATATAATTTTATATTCGACATTTTCGACTGCATAGTTCATTGAAACTAATCTTGCACAGAATGTGGTCATCCTTTTGTAAAATTTTAACAGATACTGTATCCAGCGCCAAAAGAAACTTTGATTTAAAAAATGGTAATTCTACATAGGCCTATTTATTACTGAATACGCTAGTTTATTTTATTGGCTATCATAATGCACAAAATAACATAAATAGACCTATAATAAAGAAAAGAAGAAAAAATAGGCACGACAGACATTCCTCACTGTCCACCCTCTGTTCAAAACCTTATTTTTGACTATTATTTTTTTGTTTATCTTGGAATATCAGGCCTGATGTTACCGTCAATATTGACGGCTGGGGCCCACAAAGTATTAATTTATAAGCCATGAAATACCCACACCTATAGGGCTGAAATTTACAAGCCATGAAACACTCACACTTAGGGCTGAAACATAGCGTGAAGCCACTTTACAGACCATTAACCGTTCAAGCTGCAGAGGGGTAACTATAAGCATGTGGCTGGCTGAGAATGGTCTGCGTGCTTCGAACCCTCGAAGAGGTTCAGAACCTGAATGGAGATTGCTGCGTCAAACCGCCTTCCGCATGTCGCCTATATATATATTTTAATTTCATAAAATTCGAACGTATACAGACTGGGCATCATACAGTTTACTTATGTAAACAGCAAAGAAATAAAACATGTTAACTATTCATCCGATGGTTTTTAATTCCAAATAAATACAGTTCCTTATCTAAACTTGCCATAAATACCAAAATATAAAGCCTGAAATGAGTAATAATATGTATACATATGTATACGGGGGAGGGGTTGGGAGGAATACGGTATGAGACATAGAACCCCTTGTTTTCAGTGGGGTCCCTCCGGTGGTGAATTGGAAAGTAGGCCTGCAGATGGATACAATTCCCTACTCTTTTTTCGAAGTGTGCGCTGCTGTTTTTAACGCACACGAGGGCCACATTGAACACGTGACCAACTGCTTAAACGTCTCATCAGACGGTGCGCTATCGTAACTTGTAATTCAAAAAGCTTTCCAGGCTTGCGTCTCTTTCCACGTTTCTTTATAGCATAAACTAACTTAAAAAAATGTTTGTCTTTTAAAATTGCACGTAGCATTTTCCTATAGACGGTTAACCGACATAGTGACCGTATGAACGAATAATATTCAACGAAATTTATATTAATTTGCATTTCTTTAACTGGGTCTTGTATAGGCAAGAGTTCTCCAGTCATTATCAAGATCATTTATATTAGGCCTACTCGAACCCTTTCAAATCATTCTTTAGGCCTACAGTTAGTAAACGGGGCATTCTGACACAAAAAATCGATCATTTTTGCCGAACTGTCTTTTTGAGGAGTCATTAGAATATAGCATGGCCCCCTGCCCCCTCCAACACCATTGGATACGGGGCTGACTTTCTTTGAGGCATTTAAAAAAAATGCGCTTACAGAAGCACCAACTCAGTGGGCGGAGGTGGCTATGGTTAAAAATCTGTCGTTCTATTTCTGTCAATGTAAGTTTAATTTCAGAATTAACATGCTTATATCATTAATATTTTGGGATAACCACATTTCAACGAAAATCTAATAGAACATATATAGTCTGTTTAACGTTAGAAACCCAACAAAGTTCATCTCTGGTTATGGTGGATAAAGCTGATCTCCTAATCACTCAAAAATGTAGGGGTATATAACAGGAGGGGTAGAAATTTTGTCGTATGATAGGAAAGGTCCACTAGCAGGCCCGTAGCCAGGGGAGGGGGGTTATGGTTCGGGCGAACCCCCCTTTTCTAGCGAACCCCCCTGTTTTCTAGCGAACCCCCTCAAATTTTTTAATGAGTCCCACTCGGACGGAATGTCTGTTTTTAACTTACCCAGCATTAAATCAACATTTAGCACCTAATTCATTATTTGGTCACCCGTTTTTAAATTCTAACCTGCGATACCAGCCTTCATTCATAGAATATCTCAGCTTCAAAAGTTTGGAGATTTAAATTGAACGTAACATAAACCATGAATTTACGATGGCTCACATAAGGATGGCAAACATCGATAAAAACCCGGCTCCCGTCTCAACTTTGACAGGCCTTTGCATGGATGTTTGTAAGAAATGTACCAACCGGTAACGAAACCGGTCGCCGTCTACCTAGAGTAAATGGCGCCACTAAACGAAGCTAAATTCTTGCGACTTAATCCACCAAATGCAGCTAAAGTTTTGCGACTTAATCACCTGATTCCGGACTGTGTGGTTAGTAAATTCCATAGCCATACTGTCCACAGCGCACACTAACCTATTTGCTGATGGAGCATTTTTGGAAAATTGACTCCTTTTTTCCA